GCCGCGAGATGTCGGCACCGTCCTGGAGCAAGACATCGGAGCTACGGATAGTCAACCATGGGGTGTCAGCACCGAACAGGTGCGAGACGCCACAGATGTATCGATAGACGTGAGCTAAAAAAAAAAAGTTTTGAATCAACGTAAATATTTTTCAAGAGTAAATTTATGTCCGAATTTTAAATGAAAATACTTTTGCATAAAAAATATTTGAATTATGTTAATTTAGTCTAAAACTTAAATTTAAAATTTTTTTTGGTGCGTACGATAATTTTTCAGAAAACCCGATAATTTTACGGCACTATGTCGACCAGACAAGCAAAAGTTTTTCTGGGAACACTGGTAATACTTTTTAGCATCTTGTAAACATAATCTAATGGCACCAGTAGTTGATTCGTATTTACATCTTTTAATTTTTCTTGATTAAAAATGTCATTTTATGAGGCAAATTCTCATTTGCAGAAGATCTTAATTTATTTTTTTAATAGTAAAATATCTGAGGCTGAGGAGCATCGATTGCTCGTAGCCGATTTTTTTTTTCATAATTTCAAAGCTTAACCTTTTAAGAATATGTCCTCAAGAGGATTTTTCAAAATTCAATTTATTTTCGGAGATATAGCTGTTTTAGTGACGCGGAATCCTATATCCTACCCTTATTAAGCGAAACTTTGAAAGCGTTTTTCTCGAAACTGTTTTTTTTTTCATAAATGTCAAGATATCTCAAGTTCTACTAAACCGATTTGCTTGAAATTTGGTTAGAGTATTCTCTATGCATTACTCTATCGTGCAAATTAAAATCTTACAAAATTTTTAATTTTTACAATTTTTAAAAAATTCGGAACAGTAAAAAAAGTGGTAAAAATAATGTATCTTTTTTTCAAACAGCAGTAATTTAGCCAAAAAAGAACTTTTTTCAATGCTTTTAATTCGAACGACAGCTGCATTATTCTAAATTAATAATCTGTTTTAATTTTTTATTTCGGATGACTAGAAGAGCTGCAATCGTGACAACTGTCGCGCGCCGTTTTTTTGGGACCCCCTACTTCATCAACCTATATATTTTTCAATTTTGAATTTTTTCAATATTTTTTTTTCCATATATTCTCGACATATTAATGAATATCTTGTAACATTATAGATAGTAAAAATATTATTCGTCTTTTTGTTATTACACATGAAAAGGTACCTAAAATTCATGCCTTTAGATCAGAATACCCCCTTAAGTTTATTGTTATTATTATTGGTATATTTCGTTTTTCCTAAATTATTATTGATATTATTTTGTTTTTCTCATTTAGAATGTAATGTTCGTTTTAAATTTAACAATTTATTTACATGTGTTTTTACCTCAGCTTTCTCTTGTTTTGTCATATATCATATGTTTTAATAATAAAGTATAATTTTTAAATGTAACAAAAATATTTTTATTCAATAATCACTATCAATGCATGGTGAATATCCACATTTGCCGGTTAGTCCAGTCAAATTAGGAACAAATCTCGGAATTTGAGATACCAAGCTATAAATTCGAATAAACTTGTACTTTGACATTCTAAAAGTTGTCTCAAAATCTACATATGATAAGGTGTCCGAAACTATTAAAATCTAAGGTCAAAGGTCACAAAAATCGATTTTTTGCAAATATCTCGTTTCCTATGGGTTTTTGCTATTTGTATTTATTATCAATATTGTAGAGGATTAAATTCTCTACAACTTTTGTTACAAAAATTTTTTTATACGTTGAATCGTTTTCGAGATAGAGGGCGTAGAGCGCGCGGTTAGAGCATCATTTAAGTTCAACCGGTAGTCCCGGTCAAAAACACGCTATATTAAGTTTGTTAATTATTGATACTACAGCGGTCGGGAGACGACGATGAAGAAGAAGAAGAAGAAGATAATTAAAATTATAAGTTGTAGTTTTTGTAATTTTTATTCAATTTTTTTAATTTCCACAATCATAAATGTATGGAATGATATTTTTTAATAAAAACATTAATTAAGAATTTCTTTCTTTCTTTTTTTTATTTATTTAAGAAGTTATTAATATAAATTACATTAGAATTGAAATATAATTTAAGTATTTTCCTTAACAATTCTATAACTACACGGGCAGGTAAGTGTTATTAAATAAATTGATACTTAATTAAAAATAAATACGTAAGTAAAATAATTATTAAATATAATGTAATAGTTAATAAGAAATGAAAATAATAATAACTATGTATTTATCAATAATTAATAAACTTTATATGGCGTGTTTTTGACCGGGACTACCGGTTGAACTTAAATGATGCTCTAACCGCGCGCTCTACGCCCTCTATCTCGAAAACGATTCAACGTATAAAAAAATTTTTGGAACAAAAGTTGTAGAGAATTTAATCCTCTACAATATTGATACTAAATACAAATAGCAAAAACCCATAGGAAACGAGATATTTGCAAAAAATTGATTTTTGTGACCTTTGACCTTAGATTTTAATAGTCGCGTACACCCTATCATATGTAGGTTTTGAGACAACTTTTAGAATGTCAAAATACAAGTTTATACGAGTTTATAGCTTGATATCTCAAATTCCGAAATTCTTACCTAATTTTGACTAATTTGACTGGAGCAGGTGTAAGTTATGAAAAGATTTTTTGCAAATATTTCAATCATACACCAAACAACCACATGAATCTTGATATTTTCTCATTTCGGTCTTTATAATACATAGATGTAATATTGGAATATATTGATATGGACAATAAACTTAATAATAATAATAATAATAATAATAATAATAACAATAATAATAATAATAATAATAATAATAACAATAATAATAATAATAATAATAATAATAANAATAATAATAATAATAATAATAATAATAATAATAATAATAATAATACTATTAGGCAATTCATTTATCAATTATTAAGTATTATAATTAACTTTTATCATATTGTATTATTTTTTAGAATTTATGGAATATTTCGAGCATTGAGCATATTTATCGTTTGTTTTTAAAAGTTAGTTTATGTTTATAATTAGCGATATATATGTATATATACACGTATATGTATAAATGTTCAGATTTATACGTCACGGCAATTAATTATAAAATTATTAATTATTAGAAATATTTTATCTACGTGAAGCATTAGTGAATTATAATCCTAGGTAAGAAATTTTAAATGAAAGAAAAAATTCCTATATTCATCACTAGGATTTGAATAATGAGAGTAATGTAAACGGATATACACCCAATAGCCAAATTCTTTAGATTAATATAAAAGCAAAACTTAACAATAATGAAATATTTCATTATTGTTAATCTGATTTTATTATTCAATTCCTTTTTTCTTCTTTTAGTTTATAACAAAGAATCATTCTCATGAATAGTAATATTTCGTATAGTTACACTCTGTATAGTAAAAAAAAAAGACTACTTTTGACTTCTAATTATTCCGATTCTTTGAATAGATTGAATAAATTTTTGATTGACATTATTTATTCTATCATAATTATTTAGATGATTTTAATGATCATAAATAAGAGTTAAAATAGGTCGACCGAGGAATATGATTGAGAAAACAGGTTGCTTCTTTCGAATAGTCATTCTAACCTCTTACTACTTCGTTCATATTCGTATCGGTGGTGAGGGGGGTGGAGCTGCGGCTGCGGCTGCGGCGGTGAGTAGACGGAGGACGCGCGCGGAGTATAAGTGTGTGTCAGCATACATCATAATATAGTGTTCGTGACTTTGACCAAGTTGGAATAAATTGAGGAAGACATTTCTTTATTTAACTAAAGAGAGAGAAATATCAGAAGAAGAAAAGATAATAAAAGTTAGTTAAACAGGCCCATGGTGTGAAAGAAGGATAGTAAGATGGCGAGATCACTAACGTGGTCGTGCACTTGTTGTCTACGATTCAAGTTTAGCCCTGAGGAAATCGAGCAACGATACAAAAGCCAAGAAATCGACCGGATGTTGGAGAAAGATCGACAAACTTTTCGTAGACAGGTTAAACTTTTGCTACTTGGTGCTGGAGAAAGTGGAAAATCAACATTCCTTAAACAGATGCGAATTATACACGGAATCAAATTTGAGGTATGACAAATGGTTACGTGTCCGAGTTGTTACCCATTATTATCTGATCAATTTCATCTCAATAAGATTCTCGAAATAAAAGAAGGATCATACATTACTTACTGACATGCCAGTTTTACATTTCCTTATTATCCTCATGTTTTTAATGGTAAAATTCTCTTCTTTTTTTTTTCTTCTTAATTACATCTTGTTCAATTTACTTATCTCACTTATCTCCTCTAATTATTCTTTGTAGTATCATGATTATATTAAGTATATTGACTATTTTATTTTGATTAAATTCATGTATTAAATTCATGTATATTAACCTTAACCATATGATTGAGCGATTAGAATAAATTAACTATAGAAGTGTTTAATTATTATTTATGTATTATTTGCCACAATATATAAATAGTGTATAATAAATTTATTTTAGTAATGTTTATATATTGAAAAGTCATTAAAATATTTTCTATTTCAGCCTGAATTAATTAAAGAGTATCAACATATAATCTATAAAAACATAATTAAAGGAATGAAAGTACTGTTAGATGCAAGAGATAAGCTAAATATACCTTGGGAAAATCCGAAAAATTATGATATTGGATATCAATTATTGAAATTTGAAAATACCATGATTTTAGATACTAGATTGTTTCTTCACTACGTACCAGCTTTACAAAGTTTATGGTCAGATGCATCTATAAAAAAAGCATTTGATAGAAGAAGAGAATTTCAATTAGTAAGATAATATTTTTAAATACTCCTTAGAAATGATTTGATACTAGTTAAAAATAATATTTTATAAGTAGTTAAATGTATTTAATGAATAATGAATAAAATAATCTTCAATTTCCAGAGCGATTCAGTCCAATATTTTTTAGATAACCTCGATAGGATTGCCAAAGTGGTAATACAATATTTCATTAATAATTATTCTTTCTCCGCATGCCATATTATTATTTAATAAGATGCAACTAAAAATATTCCATAAATTAGAATCTTTGCAATATTTGACTTCATATAATATTTCATGACTTCATTCTTATTTCGTAGGATTATGCTCCTACGCATCAGGATATTTTACATTGTAGAAAGGCGACAAAAGGAATTTCTGAATTTGTAATACCAATAAACAATATTCCATTTCTCTTTGTTGATGTTGGCGGACAGAGATCTCAAAGAAAAAAGTGGTATCAATGTTTTGACTGTGTGACCTCCATATTATTTCTTGTATCTTCTTCGGAGTTTGATCAGACCATAGCAGAAAATAAGTAATAAACAATACAGTTAAATATCTAAATATAGTCAAATTTTGGTGTAAAATAAGATAGTAAATTTTTTTTGTTCATAATTTTAGGGAAACTAATAGATTAGAAGAATCAAGAAATATCTTTGATACAATAGTGAATAATATGACATTTGGTGGAGTTTCAATAATTTTGTTTCTAAATAAAACTGATCTCTTGGATAGAAAAGTAAGATCGAATGATACCAATGTTCGCTGGTATTTTCCACAATTTACTGGCGATTCACATTCCATGAAGGATGTACAGAATTTTATATTGGAAATGTTTATATCTGTGAAAAAGGACCCAAGAAAGCCTTTATTCCATCATTTTACCACTGCAGTTGATACAGAAAATATTAAAGTTGTGTTTAATGCAGTAAAAGATACTATCTTGCATCGCAATTTGGAGTCTTTAATGCTTCAATAATGTTTAGTAAGAATGGAGGGAGCAGTTATTAATGGTTAAAAGGTATGTATACAGTACTAGAGTATTAATTGTATAAAAAAGGCCAATTTATAGCATTACGATTGCTCGCATTGGCAGTTAGAAGAAGAGTTTATATTCTTGCAGGACAATATTCGTTAATATAAGCTACATTATTTATTACTATATCAGTTACGTCAAATTAAGCCCACGTACAACTGATCTATATTAAAGAAAGAGAAAAGAAAAAAAAAAAAAAAAAATATAGAGAGAAAGATAGAGAGAAATGGTGTGGGTGGTACATCGAAACATTGAAAAGTAAAGGAAAAGTTATTTTTATAACATCTTATAAAGCCTAAATAGTTTTGTAAATAACGAGTTTTTTCGTATTATATAATTTAACAAGTTTAATTTGGATAATTTAGNCAGGACAATATTCGTTAATATAAGCTACATTATTTATTACTATATCAGTTACGTCAAATTAAGCCCACGTACAACTGATCTATATTAAAGAAAGAAAAAAAAAAAAAAAAAAAAAAACAAGTAATATCTTGTCTGAAAATATGTCAAGCTGATATTCAACTTCTTATACATTGTATTTATTGATAATTATTTTTATAACATCTTATAAAGCCTAAATAGTTTTGTAAATAACGAGTTTTTTCGTATTATATAATTTAACAAGTTTAATTTGGATAATTTAGACAAAATAGTCTAAAAATGTTTCAAGTAGGTATTCAACTTCTTCTTGTGCATTATATCTATCGATAATTATTTTTATAATATTATTATTAAAAATCTAAACAATTTTGTAAATAAGGACGTTTATACGTTATATAAATTATCAAGTTTAATATAGACATTTTTTTGGATGAGAAAATTACATTTTATTCGATACAATATATTAATATACTCTATAGAAATTTAGCTTATTGCTATCTCGTGCTGCTAAGTGTGCTGAAGATATTGTCTAGATAGACAACTTTGTTTTTGGCATTAATATAACTTATTTATATTTAAGACTAATTATCTTTGTTAATGATCACTACATTAAGTGGAGAGTAAACCAAATATTAGCCCCATGCCATATAAACCAAATGAGACTAACCACTTGTGTTCAAACGTTAATATATTAACTCATTTGCTTCTAACTATGACAAAATATGTACTGATTATTATTTATAATCTGAAATTATCAAAATCATAATGTAATTGAAGTATTTTAATTTTTATAGAAAGAATTACATTGCATTTTAAGAAAATTTCATATGGGATGTAATATATGATCAAATTTGGAGGTAAAGTATATATATATACTGTATTAAACATTTGAAATCTAAACTTGATTTGAAAAGTGATGCAAATATCGCAAAGGTAAAATTTTATTTCAATTATGATAATAAATATTAATTGTGTGAAAAGTTCATGAGAAAATGAAGATTTGCTTATTAAACTTTACTATGTTAAATCTAAAATGTTTATATTTTTCATATATACATATTATAATCTTTATATTTATGATTTTATATTATCATCTATCTATTCTCTAGATGCTTATATTTATTACCTAATTGCTATTTTATAAATTAATGAGTAAAATCAAAATAAGCAAATCTAGACTGATAATCAATTGCAACTTCATATTTTACATCCTATTGTACTCATTGACAATTTTTTTTTTTAAATAATCAGTATTGATAATATTTTAAAAAAAAAACTGTGATTGGAACGGTTGTCTTTGGTTTCTAAACACTCTCGAGTACAAGTTTTTATACGAATAATATTATCTAAACTGTATTTGATATAATTTAACTATATTATATTTATCTATTAATATACATTTTATATATTATATAAAATAATTCGATTATAAATTTAAGTTGTCACATGCATAAAATAATTTTCAGTAAAAATGATGATGATAATAATAAAATGTTAAACTATCCAAAATGGAAAATAATATAATAGATAGTATGTTTTAGAAAATCTTTACAAATCTTTTTCTATACAAATAATAAATTATCTTTCCTTTTTGTATATATTCATGGAATTTGTATATTATTAAGACAAAACAATTTTGATATGTGGCTTGAGATTCCTATTACTCAAAGTAGAATCTTTGTAAAAATCTTTATATCAGAAATAAGTATATAATACACATTTTCATCGAAGCAATAATTTCATTTGATACTACAGATTTTATTGCACTCCAAGGATTTTATGTAATGATGCTGATGAAACCAAAGACTGCTATAGTATAAAATGAATGAGATAAAATTCCATATAACTTGGTTTATATAAGTTTAATTGTAAATTATAATATTATAAATCTATGTAGGGATGAATATATTATATTGTTATCTTATAAGCTTTTTGTACGAAATATTTTTGGAAATATAATTCAAAAATGTGAAAGCAGTTATTTTCAGTATTTAGTCTGATCGTCTATTACATAAAAATCTTGGTTCTTCTTATTTCAGTATAATGAAAATTATCAAATAGAAAGTAGACAAATATACTTTAAATATTAACTATTCTTTGTTATTAATAACAACATGTGTAATAGCATAATTTTTGTCTAAACTAAATCAATGATCAGAATTCACTCTTTTGGAATCATATGAGATTTATATACTTACATCATGCAAAAACAAGATTGATGAGAGTGTAGTAATTAATAATGTTTTTTAAGTAATCATACATTCCTAAAAATTTTATAAAATTCAAGTCATTTAATGCCTTATAAGATCGCTAAATTTATCATATTTTTTACTTATAGTATATTACAAACTCTTACCCGAGACAATTCTATGGTACGATCTTATACTATTTGTACTTATTATGAATGAATAATGAAACAAAATTATTAATTTATACTTTTATAAAGGTCACCTGACATTTTTATAAAACTATTTTGAAGGAAATCGTAATCTTGACTAAATATATCTATAAACTTCCACTATATATACATTAATTATAATATAATAGTCAACTTTTTAAGAATTGTTTAATTTTGAAAATTATACTAAACAAATCTGTATTAAATTCGAACAAAAACAAAAAATACTGCCTCTGTAGTAAAACATATCTTTATGTGATTAACAAATATTTATTGATTGCCATTATAAAAACTGATTTCAATATTATTTTAACTTTATAGATAGCAATATTCATTCTATTTTAAATGAAAAAATAAAAAGGAGGAAATACATGAGCAAATTTCGATTATTTCTTAAAAGAAAGAAAATGAATTTTGATTCTACAAATACATATAAGGTATTAAGTAATAAAATTTCATAAGCTTATACCAGGAAAGAATTTATTGTAATATCTTTCATTGGATATATATTGCTTTGCATTTACATATCGCCTGGACACAAGAAAAGTAAGATAAATTCCAAATCAAATCTTTTCGGAAGAACAATCTTAATTTTTTTTTTTTTTTAAATTAATCAAATGTTTCGTTCATCTTCGTTTGTTTCAAGAATATTGTAAATTTGAACGAAATTTATATTGATTAAAAGTAGAAAGAAAATATATTTAATAAAACAGAAGTCGTATGATTATTTCGTAATCGTATAATTTTTCTTGCATACAGGTGATATATTATATTTATCCCCTTTAGATATTAGTTTATAAATATAATGAATGTTAACATTCGATATATATGAATTGATTTACAGAATTTCCATTGGGATAAATTATTCACTTTGTTTTATAATTGTATAGTAAACTTAACTTTTAATTCAATTTATAACTAAAATATGGAATTTTTTATAAGAATTTTGTAATGATAAATCAAAAAATTAACTTTTAATATATAATATTATGTTCAGTTAATTATTTCATTTACGTATACTTTTAAATGAAACCAAATGAAAGCACATATAGTGTTAAATTATATTTATTTAGAACGTTTACTATTAAATATTATTAAGAATGTATCTAAATAATCATTTCTGAATATATATATATCGATTACTAATTATTCAGATATTACTTAGTGTAACTGTAATTTATATATTTTATTTATACACATGTTTATATTATTATAGTAAGCAAAGTGCCCTCCTATTATTAGACTATAAAATAAAATAAATTATTTTAAATTTTTGGCATACTTTGAATACTTCTCAATAATCAGTAAAATTGAAAAGCAATTGAATATTAAAAATTTAGATTTGCGAATGCATTTATAAAATATGCACAATTATTTTATGATTTTGAATATTTATGTATATAATTTTTGAATTACCTCCAATTTACATATATAGAACGATATTTGAGATATCCAATGAATGGATGCTATATTGCGCTATTGAAAAGTGACTTTTATAAATGAATTAAGGAAAATGGAATTATTTTCTTGTAGAATAGCTTCAAGGACCATACATAACTAATATCGATAAGTTTATTATTTTTTCTCTGAATAATGTGATATTCTTCTATCTATTATTTAAACACAATTTGCATATGAAAATTTTATCTTGTTATTTCATTTGCATTTTATTATACATGGTTTGAAGTACATAGATGCATCGTGCCTTTTGTATATTGTATATTTGTATATAAAATCACCTTACACAAATCTTTGTAATAATGTAAACTAAATGCATAAATAATAAATATAAATTTAGACATTGTTTCTGTTGTTTCATTGAATCCATCTTAGTTTTTAATGCCAAATTAATCCTAATTAATAATCCAATCCAATAATTCACATAATAATTTGTTTTATTTTTATATTTTAATTAATCGATAGTTTGTTTATATGAAACAAATTAAAATCTTATATTCATTCAAATTATCACTTTTACATATTAATTTTAATATATTTATAAAAGATGTTTGAAAAATTAAATTTATTTATAATAAAATCTATAATTTCTTTATAACAAAATTTTATAAAAGTCGTGTATATAATGTCACACCGCATTAAAAGTAAAAAATTATTCACGTAGTAATGAATTATTTTTTTATTATTATGCATAATTTACTTTTTTTACTAATATTGTTATTCTATTCAGATCTTAATTCATGAGATATTTATATATTTGAATAATCGTTTAATTTCTACACACACAAGTCTCCTGTTTTATTAATTTTTACTACAAAATATAATATATGTATAAAAATGAAAAAAAAAAAACAATAATAACATATATTATATTGTAAGAAAGTAGCCTTGCGTTTTTACATGCAAAATTATCTTTTTTTTTTGTATTAATTTTTTATAAAATACTTTTCAATCCTGTCCTATCAAAATTATTATTCATATTTAATTAATATGTTAATAAAAATCCTATTTCGATAAAATACGAACAATGACTAGACAGGATCTACATATCAAATGTGAACTTTTAATTAAATTTTTAATTTACAGCTTTTTAAGTTCTTTCGTGTACAAATGCGTGTATGATACATGTTGGTATGTTTAACAATAACAAAAATTCAACAAATTCACAACGATATGTATTACTAATCGATGTCATATATATGTCATGGATCATCGATAGTCATATAAATTATATGATAATTTTTGTAGAATGATCCAATAGAAACACACTTAATAAATGCGTATAATTTCGAGCAAAACAAACAATACAAAATATTTATAAGTAATTAATTAAAAATCATATAATTCAATTTCGACAAGTATATCTCAAGTATTACAATATCGACAAGAAGTAGAGCACATGTAATGTACGAATATTTTATATAAACATCACATCGGTAATTTAAGCTTAAGCAATAGTAATAATTACATTATTTCATAATGAAATGTTCCATATATTACAACATTATTTACACATTTTGTTTTCCTCCTAATATGATATATCAAAGACATATAAAAAGTGAATATAGTATTGCATTATAGACATAGTATTTTAAATATATATATGTATGTGACTATCTTGACTGATGTTAAATGATATATTATTATTTATATATCTTTATTATAAATATATATATATATATATATTTAATAGCTATTTTATAGTTTCCAAAAATTATGTATATATCAAAATTGTAAATATTGTCAGTTTAAGAAAGTTTGTTTAAGAAAAACTTTGAATGAATAAATATATCATCAGACATGCTTGTAAAGTACAGTGTATATCACTATACTTTTATTACACTATAAATAACTCAAGAATGGTATGTGATTTCAAAGGAATGTAATGTAATAGGTGTCATGCCAGCCATTCTTTTTCATATAGTACAAAAATAGCATATATATGCATAAAAAAGTCCAATGGTATCTAAATCACTATCTTTGTTTCAGCAATATTATATTCTAAAATATGGTTTTTTTTCAGTCTTATCTTAGAAAGATAAGATAACAAAATACTTTTTCTTGTAATCTCAAAACAACCACTGATTAATTCAACACTCTATATATATATACGTAAGTATATTTTAAATATTTCACAATGGAAAAATATAAACATACCACATTATACTTGTATAATCACAGAAAAGATATGCATACGAGCCTAATAATATGACTAATAAAAAAAAAACACTGTTCTAATGGAATCTGTGGAATGTTGTCAAAAAAAGTAGTCATTAGTTGCAAAATAAAATATATATAGAAAGAATAACAAATACTTTTGGTTTGTAAACAAAAGTAAAAAAAAAAAAAACATTAAAATTCCAATGTGTAATAAATCGTTAAATAATAATTGATAGAATTAAATGTTTCATTTATCCCATTGAAAAATTTAAATGCATGATACATATAATAGTAATCAATAATTAATAAAAATAAACTTTTTTATATATGTACACAATTTTAGGTTTTTCTTTTTTTCGTTACAATTTGGCAGTAATATCATTCTTTGTTGTTACATCAGGGTCGAGAAATTACAAGATGTCTATTTCATACTTTTTTGTCTTCTCTTATGGTATATGTTGTAGTTTTTACTTATTATAAGACTTTGTATAATAATTATGCCTTTCACATCTTAGATATTATAATTATATATACTATTTGTAATTTCGCTGGAATAAAGTGCTTCGCAACTCCTCTAATTTCAAAAATTGTAGTATGTGTTTTATACAAAATTATGTTTCCATATCTTTAGTGAATAATATAAAGGCGTATGAGCATAAATATCATTTATGCATAAGAACGTTTATGAACAAAATTGAATATAGCACCCCCCACTTTCAGATAAATCATTGAATTTTAAATATATAATATGAGTCAAATATTGTACTTCAAAATTATTACAAATAGTTGGTATATTCATATAAAAATTATTTTCAATATCAGTATCATGAGGCGTTAGAAAACACATATCAAAAATTTATCTATTAAGAAATACATTTCATTATTCATTAAACTTTAACATCACATTGATTTGTGCGTAATTATTTACTAAATCTTTGAATAATATATATTTTCAGCCTAGTATGTTTACAAAAAATTATCTGCTAGAAAATTGTAGTATTCTTTAAACAGTTAGATTATTTAATAGATGAGGAGACTTATTGAATATCTGATCTAAATTCTGTTCTAACTTAAAATTCAAGTTCTTCGGCAGTACGGGAAAGTCTGTGATTATCAATTCGTCTACGTTGACTACGTCTTACAGCATCTGCTCTACGATATGGTTCTGATCTAAGACCAAGAAGTATATCTTCTAGAGCACCATTATAAACTTCATCTTGCTGTAAAAGTTTCTTCTCTTGAACCAGTCTGGTTTTATTCTTAAGTTCATTTATGACAGCATCCTAGAGTGATAAAAAATAAATTAATGTTACAAATGATTGTTATATAAATTAATTTATAATTACTTTTCAAATAATTATCATTATTTTAAATATTATAATTCAGATTCATGTACAATAATACTGTATACCTATAAAAACCTATAAAATATAATACGATATCAAAAAGAAATATTTATTCTGAAATTCTATTTAAGTCAATAAAGTTATGATACTTCCAAGAAAAGAAAGTAATAGAGAATTTCTCTCAAGCAACATGAATGCAAGCTGTGACATGCTAATGCATCTCTTCAATTTTGTTAATGGTAAACATTTAGTATATATAACCATTCAATATTTATTATATGGTATATAGAATACACTGTATTGAGTAAAAAAGCTTTAGTAAACATAGATTGAAAGATCAAAGGTTTCTCAAATACATCAACATTTTTCTTTGTTATTATCATAATTGCCTTACTATTGAATTTTTAATATTTACAGAAGATATTCCATGTGTCCACCTTCTATTTCTATACACGCTTGGCATTTTTTTTTTTACAGAGTTGCGAACTCTCTTAACAATTCCACATTTCTGTCGAATTGTTTGACAAGCATGATGGTGGATAATACGCTGACATTTTTACAATACTTTCTAACTGTGTAATATCTTCAATCGCCGATCTACAACTGACTAATTCTCAATGAAATCTACTTTCGGCACTTTAATAAAAACATTTACAACGCAGTTTAAAAACACTACAGTAAACATGGAAGCAAGTAAGTCAATCATGATACTAGCAGACAAAAATGTTTATATCTCAGAAACGATTGACTTTTCGACAATGTTTATTAAAACTTTTTTACTCAATACAGTGTATCCTATATACTATAGAAATATTGAGTGATTTTGTTTAAAACCAAATTATATATATATATATAAGTATGAAAATATGCTTATAATTGTGAGAAGCAGGCATATAGCTAGGATGACATTTTGATAAGCCATGAATAATTTTATTAATAATGAAAGTATTTTATATATGTATATTAAAATGACAATTAATGGAATCGTAATTATGTATAATGAATAAAATATATAGAAATAATAAAAGGAAAGAATAAAGAAAACTAATGAAAATAAATAATACAATACAAAATTACAATTCGATGAATTGTAATGCGTGTTGTCTACATTCTCTATGAAAATTAATAATTATTTTGTTTACAGTTATTTTCTTCTTTTTTTATGGACTTGATGTTTTGTCTCTTTTCTATTCATTTTTCTTATATTTTAATAATTTAGCTGATTTTACATTCAGTCACTTAATGTTGATATAATTCCTTGATATTAATTTCCATTGAAGCTTTCGCTTCTTTTGATAACTGGTGAGGAACAAGCAGGTCGCTGGTCATTAAATTTCTTTATCTCATTTTTTTCATCTTTTTCAGAGTTTGTTTTATATTATATCAACACTCTAAAGGTTGCAATCATAGTTATTATATTATCTGCTGATATACTTGTGATAGTGGTCGTTGGTATTCACAATTACCGCTATTATTGCTCTATTATAACTCATTCCACCTGCTCATTACCACAAGGGATTCCAATTGTAATGAGCACTTCCTTAATATTTTCTTACAATTACTAATACTACTGAAAAATGAGTACGGTAAATGCAATTTATCGATCAACAATAATTTTCAGCGGGATTCCATTATCTAGCATTTCGTCTCGTAATTTCACGATTACTTCGACAGCTGACATCGACTTTGTTTCATATAGCCATACAAATTTGTAAATGCATCTACGACAATCAACAGATGTTTGTAATTTTTGCTTATCGAAGGTATCAGCTCTAGATAATTGGTGTAATATGTATCTAGTAGTGTATTTTTCTTTGCCGCTAGAATATACATAGCTCTTGCAATTGTTGATAATACGTTGTATTCGATTACAGATTTACGAAAATCAGAATTCTCGTGGTAGCTGATATTTTTACTGATACTTTTTTCAAACAAATTGTGTTCTTCCATTTCATGAATTATTTCATTTTACATCATTCTTGATATTACATCTATTTCGAATTTTCTGCAAGATTCCATGTTTTATTTTAAAATCTGTTTCATCTACTATTTTAACATTTTCAATGATTTACTTAACACTTTATTAATTGCTCATGAAAAAATTTGACGCTTGCTAATAATCAGCTTTGTTGAGCGTGAACTCAAGCCAGTATTAGCCTAGTTTTGTAAAAATCCAAAATCCGTATGATAGAAGTAATGTGTCTATTTTTATTTTATACCATCCTCTTAATAAAGCTCCAAGAACCAAAAGTTCTCCATAAAGGTCCTCCTTAATAAAGGTTCAGTAGCGTGCAAAAGTTTCAGACTACTCTATTTTTTTGTTAATACTCCCACCCCCTTGTTTTACGATAGAAATTTGTTATCCTACATTCTATCTGGTACTTGTTAGACGTCTTTCGTATTTCCAACCGTCACTTTCAAATAATTGAAATTTAGATTCGTTAGAAAAATCACTTTCTACCAATCTGATGCTAATATTTTTTCGCAAAATTTATTCTGGCCTTCTTATTCTTTTTACTAATTAGTAGCTTTTTTTATACCAATACATTCAATCAGTCTCACAACCTTTAGACCTTAAAATACCATACTCCGACTAATGTCAGTAAGATTTTCGCTTCGTAATTGCTGTGAAATATCCATTGCAATTTGTCACGGATCTACTGCGCATTTCTTTTTTATAATTTTGTCGACATGTTTCGAAGTTTTTCACAGTCTACCACTCTGATTTTTATCACACATAAAAAATTTATTAATTTATATTTAACAATAATACTTTTGCGTTTTACGCAAAAAATATGCTATGTAAAAAAATATAATAGTTCACGTTATTATCCATATTCCAGATCCCTCAAATATTTAAAATAACTAATAAGAAGAAAAATTAAATATTCTATCAATTAAGGGGTAGAATTTTCTGTAATCTATGTCACTGTAGAATTTTCAAAAAATCGATTTTTGTTTTTTTTAGCTTGAAGTGTACTTTAGATATCTAAAAACCTTATGCACTTGGTCCCGAAGCAAAAAAAAATTTTAACATAGCGAAATCTTATTTTTTCGAAACGTCTCAAAGCGCCTCGAATAGTGATAACAAAACTTTAAACGCGTTTTTCTCGAAACTACATTTTTAAAACTGGGCGGACTCAGAACTCGAGCATCATTTAACCGATTTACTTGAAATTTTGAATATAGTTTGATAGTTGTATTTTCTACAGAAGTACATTTCCGATTTTTAATTGAATGTAAACTTTTAATTTTATAAACAATTTTCTACATTTTTTTTCGTCGAAAAGTCGATTTTTTTATTCAAAGTTGCACCATTTTCATAAAATTTGACTTAGGGAAAAATCCGTATATACTTCTCAAGATAATAGTACATAGATTAAGAATTGCTTTTGTTTTTTATTCTAGGTCTTATAGTTGTTCAGATATGAGTCCGCTCATTTTAGCAAAACAAAGAAAAAAAAAACAGGGTTTTGTTCAGTCACGAATACCGACGCCATTTTCGATCTAAAATCAATAAAAATATTTGTGTACATAGTTCAATATATGATTAACCAAACCACACAAAAGAAATTCTATACCTCATTTAGTTTTCGCAAAAAAAATTTCCAAAAAAAGGCTTTTTTTCGGGCTCTATAGTGGTGTTACCCCTTAACTGAAAGAAATAGGATGGCCCAAAACTTTTAAACGCTACTCTTCTTCTAGATATATAAATAGATAATAATCTCCATTTGCTTCCCCGAAGGGTTACAATCCTTCCACATTCCCTTCAACCTCCTCCTTTCCTTCTTTACCCTCATCTCCCGCCCTTGAGCCTCCCTCTTCCTTACTCTCCTCCTTCCACCAAACTTTGTTCCTCTCTCCAAATCTCCACCTTCTTCATCCATTCTTCCCCCCTTCCACTCTCATCCAATATCTTTCTTATCTTTTCTTCTATTCCTCTTACTCTTCTTCTATTGATACGCATTTTTCTATTAAAATCGTCTTCCAAATGACGTAGTGGACAGGGTGAATCATCTCATCTTCGACATCTTTCTAAAGGAGAATTGCATTTAATCCATGCATACTCGCATCTATATGTAATTGAATATTGAACGAAATTTCTAAATGTTCGAACCTAGGGGCATTTAATTTTACATACAATGTCAAACAAATAAAATGAAGATCATTTGTGGATTTAGAATCGCAACAACGTCTTTGTCGAAGATTTTTATGATCTTGTATATCTTTTTGTCACTCATCGTGATGTTATCTCATCGAGAAGTCTGACGTATATCTCTGTCGATACTTTTTTCACATTTACGATTTATCATGCTTTTTCTTTATCATCTTAAAAACTTCGTTTTTTAACGTTTTCATTTTTAATCACATCTTCAGTGTTTATTCAAAGTTAACGAATAACTTTGCAGGATAATCCTACAGCAATCGTTTACCATACATAGTCCTTTGTATGTTGATTCACTCACATGCTCGTTACTCTTTATTTGAACTATTAGAACAATTTTCGACAATTTTTACCTTCGATTCTAGAGTAATTCCCAATTTTGTTGGAATGACAGTTAATGGAATCGAAAGCTATCGAAAATTAAACGTAATAAGTAAAATATCAAAAAATAGTTATACAAAAATATAAAGAAAATAAATAATTAAAATAAATAATTAAATACAAATTTATTGCAATGCGTGTCGTTTGAATTTCCCATAAAGACAATTATTAATTTTTTCTTTACAGAGTTCTTTTTGTTTACTACACTCCAAGCGTCGTTGTCTTTGAATAGGCTAACACGTTCGAGCTTGCACAACGTTTTTTCTATTTTATGATATTAAAGTTCACGTAATTTTCATAATGATAAAAAAATATATTATAAAAATTAGATATGTTATAATATCAATAAATATATGTCATACAAGGCTACACTTTAATATTTAATATTCCGAATGTATAGAAATGAAAAATAAAAAAAAAATTAAATTTCATTTTGTATTAATCATTGCCTATCTTTATCTGGTACTAAATTATATTTTACAGCGTTTTATCAGAAGATTGAAATGCTTTCTAGTATGCCTTATAAAATATGTTATATTTATATAAAATATTATTTTCGAATGGGAGCTATTATTTTGCCAATAATATTTGTATGTTTACATTTAAAATATGATAATGTAATATTGTTTATGTAAACAAATTATTTTGTGTAAATATATTTTGTTCATTTTAAAGGAGCAATATATGTGATAACACAATGTTAAATTCTTAATGATCAAATATACAGAATAAAATTCTTACATGGTAAGCATTGTGTATTAGTTATGCTTACTTTGTAAAAATTTTAGTGTTGCGGATATACTGTTGGTTAAGACTCCTCCTGACAAATTCATGAAACTTCTATTAATAAATTCATTGTCATATTTATGAAAACTTGTAATTTAATAAAGCAACATAATCAGTATTACGTGTGTAAAGGTAAAAAATATTAAGCATTTAAATGCTAAAATATGTTTTACTTATGTTATATTACTTCTTCCACCATTTTGTTTTGTTTTGTTTAATTAATTATATTAGCAAATGCTAACAAATACAAACAGATTGTTGTCAATAGTTGTTAATTATATGATTTCGTTAATAGACTTTATTTTGATTTGTTGGTAATGAAAAGTTGCTATTCCGAATCAGAAGGAATCTTAAGGATAGGCAGTGAGTTAGGATGGACTTACACGTTTTGAATTGTTTCTGTATTGTTATGTTCTGACCTCCTTCTGAGTTCATTAAGATGCCGGTGCAACAGAGTCTTGTTCGAGTTACAGCAAAATTTCGGTGACTTTAAATCCAAATAAATATGTAACAAATAAGTTATCAGATTCTGTAATATATGTATATTCTGTTTGGAAAGGCGAAAATAAGAAAGACTACAAGAAGAACACTCACAAAACGATTTCAATTGATATAGTTATTAATACTCCCCGTAGTAATCATGCTATTTCACAACATGCAGTAAAATTATTAACACTTTTTAAAATTTACTTTTAATAAATTTGCCTATAGTATTAATTTGAATGTTTTTTTTCAATCTTTCCAAACTTTTTATTACAATGTTAAGTATCATTTACTTAATAATAAATTATCAACGACTAAACAGTTAAATTACAAATTCAAATCACCGTATTTAATGTTACTTGTGATAGAAAAATGTGAACAGACTGTAAGTAAATTTTCAAAGGAATATAATTTAATGATATAGCATATAATATAAATAAAGCCCCAATTTGATAATATGCTCATACATTGTGAAACTTGTATAGAGATGACATAACAAATAGCACATAAGACATTATTTTCTTCATAATTGTAGGATTCGTGAAAAAATTTGACCGTTGGGTTGACTGAACCGAAATTCAAACCCGAATTTTCTTGCTTTCCGGGCGACTGCTTTAACCTTTGAGCCACCCCGAGCCTTTGGTAAACTTCCTCACGAATGCCTTTTTTTTATTTAGAATGGAAGTACTCGATGATCCCACATAAATAATTATTTATATTTTTCAAAATAAAATTTAATTTCATCTTTTCATTATTTTTATTTTTCAATATGAAATCCTATGTCAACTCAAAGTAGATTTCTCAAGTGTGAGCATTAATTATAAGGCAATATAAGTGATAAAAAGCATACTTAAAAAACAGTAACACTCTTCATAGATAAAACGACATTCAATGATAGATCCACTTGTGTTGGAATGAAAAGTGAGTTAAGAATACATTCCCATTCTTAACACTTATTAAGAATAAATTGTTTTTTAAAGTAAATATATTATAATCATAAAGCGTGTCCTGCAATAAAAAGATGATACTAAACTATTCTTTGAATTTGAGCATGCTCAATACGCGTAAAAATTAAAGTTAAATAAAAAATATATAACTAAAATAAAAGAATAAGAAAGATAGCAACACCATAATAACATATATTGATCATTGTAATATGAACTGTATTAATAGCAAATAGTTCGATTCTTTTATGATAAGTATATTTCTGTTTAGAAAAAAATAGCACATTAATATTAGATAGTATTAGTATTTAGACAGTTAAATAACAAAGCAACAAAAGAAGCAGATTCAATATGAACAAAATTATGTATATGTTTCTAATATTTGTATTATTTATTAAAAATGTTTCAATCGAAACAAGTCTATTTATTTATACTATAAGCGTACTACCCTTGATGTAAAGTATGCTATTAATAAAAGTATGGACTAATTTATATATACATATGTTTGTATGGCAAATTAAAATATTGATATACACTAATATTATTATAAATTTTATTTTATGTGTTCTAATAATCGTAATAATTTGCCCAAACTTCTAATCAATAGCACAATGGCACTAAATCTCTCCTTTTTAAGCCAATTATATTCATAAAAAGTATATAAAAAGAATATGACATATAACACACCTGTTGTTTCTTCTGATTCAATTTATTTCGTTTAATTACTTGCTCGGATGTATTTAAAGCTTCTGCAGCAGCAGCTTCTAATCTACGACGTTGTTCATTTTCTTGATCCGCTGCCTGTTAATGATACAAATATTCATGTTATTGTAATTTTATTATCCGTGTTTACAACAGTATTATACTTATATATTAGATTAAAGATATTACCTTAAAAGATCTTGCGAATCTTACAAGAAGCGAAAAGAAGGTATTCGCATCAGCTTGTCTGGGACTCTCGCCAAAATATTCAACGCATTCTCTAAAAGCTTCACCCGCTGCTCGAGCATCAGATTTCAATCGACGTAATTTTTCTTCGGAATTATTTAAAAAGTCGCGTAATACCGTATTATGTTTTTCTTTGCCACGCAATTCAAATTCTTTCCTTACAAGATCCATACCCTTTTCCAATTCATGAACATCGGTTATAATATTTTCAAGAGAAACTATAACAAAAAATGTCATTTGAATATAAATGGTATATTACAATAAAGTATATTTTGATCGTAATATAAAAAAAGATGTTTATGTACCTGTTGCAGCTTTATCAATATACATGAGTTCTGAATCGAAATTAATAAGTTCTGGGAATTTGATACGTATAGTTGCTACAATGTAATGTAAAAGGCACATCCTTTTATCTGTAGACTTTGTGTCTAATAACGTATCTAAACTTTGTAATTTAAATCCATAAGCAGGCCCACGTTTGCTACTATTTAAATAGTTTCCAAAAGCAAGAATGATTTCTAAAACTGCTCTCAATTTCTTTGAACCTTTCACAGTACTTGATGCAGATATCACAGCGTGTATTTGTGGCGTAATAAGATGTAAATTATCAAAAAAGTTTCCTATATAATTCATTATTGAAAGCTTAGTCGATATTCTTTCTACCTTTCCTAATTGCATCAAAAATTTATCCTCTTCGGTTAAAAGATTTATGTTCTTCTTTTCGATAATATATTCACGATAAGCTTTTATCTATATAAGCAAAGAGTTGATTATTTTCATTAAGAATAATATCTATCTTTAAAATTATAGCTTACATACCTCTTGATCAGTTGGAACCATGCGTTGTAATAATTCTACATTTTCAAGTGAAAGTACCTTCAAATCAAGAGCATTTACGGCCATTATTACCTTTTCCACTGGCATCTCCATCTTTCTACGTGATATTGCTACAATATAAAAAAGTATATATAGATATATGTGTAAAACTAATACATATATATGAAGTTTTTTGTGTACCAATATTTCGCAATCTCGTATGTTCCAAAAGGGACACATTTTCAGGTTTCTTAAATCTTTTACTAGGAAAGCTCTGTAGGCCATCCAATTCATTATTGCCGTTAGCTACATGTCCACTCATACCAATTTTGAATCTTTCTTCAAAATCGGAAAAGTCTATGTAATTATGCAATCGATCATCATCCAATTCATTGAAGATAGTGCCTCGTACTTGATTCGGTTTTAATGCGATCCAATTGAGGGTAGGTAATTTGTACTTTGTTTGTACCTATTATGCAAAACATTTGACAAAGTTGCAATAAGAATTACAAATCCTGTGTGATATTATAATATTTAGATGCTTTAGAATCAGTTATTATAAAGTAATTTAAATCTATTATCAATAAATATTTGATTAGATAGAAAGTTTAAGTTGATTGATATTTTTAATATAGACACAATTTTTCTCAAAATCGGCATAAACTTTCCAGGCAATTTAAATATATGAAGTATGACTTGGTATCAGCAGCTTGACAAATATTAAATTCAAAATATTATTTACAAAGAACTGAATGCATATATACTTTTCTTTTAATTGTCATTGCTCCATCAGGTGCTTGCATCATGCCAGCTGGTGGTGGTGGTACAGGTGCAGGTGGTGGTAACTTGTGATCACCTGGTGAAAGAGGTGCCATAGGTGGTGGTGGTGGACATGGTGGTGGAGGTGGAGGAGGTGGGGCAGGCGTAAAATTATTAACTTCTTCCGACATTGACAGTTGTTCTGTACTTAGTCCAGATGATATAGTATTCTCCGTATCGAAATTATCAGAATCGTTTAAGGGATTCATTGCACTTCCATTTCGTATATTGGCTGTTCAACAAGCAAAAACCATTATTAATTTCTATTGACTGAGATTTGTTAATTACACAGGATGGACACATTTAAATTGGAACATCTAAATATCTCTGTTATTAATAATTGTATGAAAAAAGTCCTTAAGACAAAGTTATACTATTTGAAAAAGAGTAAATTTTGCGGTAAAATAGTAGTTTTTTTTTTTCAAGATTACTCTTTTTTAAAATTTTGAGGTCATTGGTATTTTTATAAACTGAATCTTACTATATATTTTTTACATGAATTGTGCCTTTTTAAATATAAAAGTATTCAGGTACAACGTTAAAAGGTAATTCATTTGTTAAAAATATTGAAAATATGTCTGATAATTCAAACAACTATAGTAAGTCATATTTTTTCTTTGGTTAAAGTTAAAAAAAACATAATAGAAGAAATAGATGAATGGTACAAAGTTAACTAAATATTCATGGCTATTATTATTATTAACTGGCATTAGGAACTCGAAAGTTCATTGCCGCAAATACCAAATCCCGCCAATGTTTCCGTCCCTGAACGCGATCCTTTCATTCGCGGTCTTCGTATCATATTTCTTTTAGATCCCTTCTAATATTATCCTCCCATCTACGTCTCGGTCTACCTAGTGGTCTTTTCCCGTTTGGTATACCGACCAATATTTTGTGCGCTGTTCGATCCTCCCCCATGCGCGCCACGTGACCAGCCTATCTTAATCGGCGTGATTTTACGACGTTGATAATGTCCGGTTTGTTGTACAATCGATGTACTTCAACGTTATGGAGTTTTCGAAAACCCTAAATTTCTTTTCGTCCCGTAACGTAAGCGACCACGATTCGCTACCGTAAAGAACTACCGGCAGGATGATTGTCCTGTATATCCTGATTTTTAGTCGCCTAGACAGCAACCGCAAGCTGAGTAATTTGTTAACCGAATAGAAACATGAATTGCCTAGATTGATTCTTTTCTTAAGTTCTTCATTAATTTCGTTTATGATCGATCCTAAATACCTAAAGTTGCTGACCCGCTCAAAAGTTTTATCCCGGACGACCAAAGTTCCAGTATTAGGCCTATTTTGAACTCTATCGGTTACCATATATTTGGTTTTTTCCGCGCTTATTTGCAGTCCCAGATCTTTAATATTCATGGCTATATCATTCATAAATGAATGAGTATTTTGTAAAAAAAATGATCTTGAGAAAAATTTTTTTTCATCACCAGATATGTCTTTCAAATAGTATAATTTTGTCCTAAAACCTCAATTATAAATACCGGTGATACATATTTAAATGTTTAGATTAAAATATTCCATCTTGCAGAATCATATTCTTCGTTACCTGACGAACTTTTCGTAAGAGTTCCAGTAAGGGTCTCCAATTCAATTATCTTATTTTCTAAAACACTTTGCCTACGCGCAGAATCTTGTTTTTGTCGTTTGAGTGCAGTAAGTTCCTCCTCCGCTATTCTACGCGCTTCCGAAACTTCTATGTATTCTATCTTCAATGCACCTAATTCAGTCTCTAATTCTGCTAATTTAGCTAAAGATTCTCGTTCTAACTCGGCCATTCTATCGTGTGCCTATAAAAACAAAGATATCAATATAACAAATGAACTATATTTCAGTGTTTCATCATAAAATTATTTTATGAAGTCACAATTACTTATTCTAACTTACATGACCAAGTTCATCTTCTAATTCAGCTACTTTTTCTAATGCCGCAGTCTTCGTTTCGCTGTCTTCCATTAAAGCAGCAACATCAAATACATTGTCTAGATAAGCTGAGATTTGAACCTACAATGATAAAGTATTATGTACTTTATTATTTACAACAAAATATATAAAAATATATATTTTTAAAATAGTAGTTCCCAACCTGTACTATCTGATATCTTCAGGAGGTACTTAATATTTTAGTAGTAAGCAACAAAAATTAAACAATGATAGAGATATTAATAAAATTTTAATAAATTGAATGCCGTACATGCACACAAGTTGCTTCGCGTCATTAGGTAGAAGGAAAAAATAACTTACAATCAGTCAACCCTATGCGTTAGGCTGTATTTCTATTGCATTCTGTTTTTGGAATCGCTACCTTTGTTACTCATTGACAATAGTACTTGAAATTTTGCAATTGGGTGTACAATAAAATGTATTATATGTTTTACTTT